CTTAGCTGATTGGTGTTACTTTCAGCATCCCGACTCCAGAGTTTCGTAGACGGACCTGTCCGTCCACTCTTCAGGGGATATCATATTTTACTGCTTATATTTTTTCGAATTTTTGCATTTTATGTACATTTAATATTGATGTAATTTTCTTTTTTTTTTTTGCAGCAGCAGCATATTTGAATTCATACATATCTCATTGAATAATATAGATATATATATATTATGTCTATTTTTTTTATACTGATCATTTCCGGCTCACTAATCAGTTTCGTGATGTTAAGATAAAATTCATCAAGGAAGGCGCCGTAGTTTTTTCTAACCCAAGTACTTTCGATTTTTTACACGGTCATCTTCAGAGGTAAATTACAACGACAACGGCGATAATATCTGCATTCCATTGAGATTAGGATTTTTAAAAAGACACCATTACAGTTATAGTCATGGAATTTTGTTGTAAAACAAGCTTTTCAGTATAAGGGAGTTGACTGGAAATTAGTAGAAATGCAAAATGCATTGTTTGTTATATGCATTTCAATACGTTGCTGCTACACTCGTAATAAATTTATAATCATTTTCAGGCGTGAATTACTAAGACAAATAATTAATGTAATAGATAGTTGTGAATTTCTTTGTAAGTGCGCATGAAACGCGTTATGTTATAAAGATGAACGTGGATGACAGTAAAAGTACTTGGGAAAATAAAAGAAATTAAAAAACTACGGTACCTTCCTTAATGAATTTAATATCAACACTAAGAAGTTGATCCGAGAATTCGAGGGGATTAAATTAAAAATAAATAGACATAATATGTCCAGATTATTCAACCAACTTCTCTTTCTTGGACAGATCCAAAGAAAGTTTGAAGCACGAATGAACTGTGCGGCCATCACTTAAAGTTGAAGTTATTCCACTTGACGCCACTATTAGATTTCTGTGAATGATGTAGAACTTCTGAATGAAGCACTCTTGCTGATTGGTCCCTCTTCTGATGACAGTATTTTCTTCCCAGCCCTCAACTTGTGCTTTTTGTTTGCGCCTGCTCCATCTATTGTGTACCCAGATGTAGTAGACGGAAATCTCAACATACATCAGTGTTCCGGCAAGCAGTTCACTTTGGCATAATTTGAAGAAAACTGTCAAAGTGGTTTCTGGTGTATACTTAACTACGTTTCGAGCAGTATCTTCTGTGAATTATACACGCTGGTTATTTTCCAGATGAACAATAAGGTTCACCTATGTTGGATGCCGCTCGTGAGTTTCGAAAGATCAGGATGCGCCACATTTTCTCGTTAAAGGAAATATATCTGCCCAACTGATAGATTATATATTGTATATTCGTAGGACTGCACATGCGCACGGCAGAGGCATGCTGGGAATTTTAGTTTTTTTTTTTTTTTTTTTTTTTTTATCAGCCGAATTCATTTATAGTCTTTTTTCTTTTTCTTTCGATCCGTTTTGTAAGTAGGTTTTCCACCTTGTTCATTCCTGACAGATCTAATATGACAGTGTGGAATACCTACTTACAAAAGTGATGAGAAGAAAACGAAAAAGAGTCTAAATGAAGTCAGCTGATAAAAAATTCCAGAAATTATACAGATTTCAATATTGAACGGAATGAAAAGTTTAAAAACAATTCTTTATTAAATTTTTTTATTTCATTTTCACTTTTCGTCACGATTCGAAATGATATTTTCTAATTAAACCGCCGTAATTAAAAATAAAAGAAGGGTACGTGACTCATACCGATTAAGGACGTGTGGATTTTTTAAGAAGGATCTATATTTTCACAGCTAGATTTTTTTTACACAGATGGAAAGTGTCCTTCAAACAGGTTGTTATTCCACAGGCAACAACCACAACCACGATATGCCTTTTTTAAGGCTAAGTTGAAATATGAGCTTAGATAAAGAATCTATTCGTAAATACGCTCAATTTAAATGTTATTTTAGGTTTAAATGACCAAAAGGATTGAGCCAATTTCATTCTATTTAATAAATTCGAACCTGGCGAATTTAATGAGGCCGATAACGAAATTTGAAACGAATTAAATTTTTGCAACGTAAACGAATTAATTTTTTTGCAATATAAACACACCACGGAGATCATATTCAAAGTAAGATTATGCTGAATTAATGAGTTAAATAAAGATTTTATTTAGAAAATAACTCAATCCGAATCGCTACTCCACGGTACCTCCTTATATACATATACATATATACATTATGAAATGGACAAAGTCCGACAATTATTTTTAAGACATTTTTATGTTTATATATTGTTTTTATAGATACAAATATTTAAGTAAATATTAAAAAAAAATTAAAAATAATTGTCGGACTTTGTCCATTTTATAATGTGTGACGTCATTTGTTTACATTTGTATACGCTTTGAGCAGATATTAATGTACGTGAGAGATTCATAGAAGATTGAAGTTTAAAAGCAGTAAATTCGACTCTGCGAATCGAACGATTTTCTGTGGCTCGATCGGTTAAGAGCACGTCAGGCTAAATGAAGGTTCCATATAGGATACAAGTTCCTGTCAGAGAACGAATATTTTCTATGAAAATTTCTCGGACCTTCAGGCCGGTTAATGTTGTTAATACTGTTTATTATAAACAGAGCATTTACTTAAATATTTGTATCTATAAAAAGAATGTATAAAAATATCTTAAAACACATATATTTTGAATTTAGATGCACCTGTTAGTGACCAAAGTTTAACCATATAGCATTTTCAGGTTCTTTTGCGGAAATCAGTGCTTCAGTATCGTTAGATAAATAACAGTATTCAGCTTATATACCACTGAATTACGCTATAGTAAATATTTCTTTATGTGGTTGAATTAGTAAAAAATTTATTTTCTGATATTCAATTTTTTTCCGGATTGTAAAAGGCAGATGTAAGTTTCTTTGTGCACGTAAACCACCTACAGAAATTAGTACCAAATTAGTAGTTTTTAATACGTTCAACTTTAAAACAGAATTTAATACATGTTTTTCTTTCACACTCCAACCGTACTTTGATATGGTTGTAGAATGTCTATATTGTTCTAGGTTAAAAGAAATTTTGTAATTTAAATATCTCTTCTTGAAAATTTACTTCTGTCGACCTTAAATATACTATAGCACTGTATTTTTGGAATTTCACAGCGGCTTTGTAAACGAAGCATTTAGCCTAACAATATCCTCGCAGTGGGCAACAGAGCTTATCGCGAGTTACAGCGTCTTCTATATTTTATTTTGATTGTTAATGTTGTTAATAAAGTTTGTAGTACAACAATGAAAACAGTGTTGAATTCATATGTGATATCCATCCTCTTACATAGCAATAACTCCTGGACAATCTCTATACGGACGACAAGAAAACCAGAGGCAAATGAGGGTTCGCTTTCATTAACTGTGAGTCTCCTAACAAAATTCGGTCGAAAATTTCGACAATCTAAAAATAAATGAATTCAACACATTGTGGGATTACCCCTCATTTTCTGTCAATGGATCTCAATTAATGTCGCTAGGAGGCGTGGCAATTAGCTGTCTAAAAATAAAGGACTCACTCACAATTTCGTTTTTTATTCAGGAGTGTAGTAGAGATAACACGGGACTTGTTCAGCAGCGGGGGTATTTAGTTATCCATGTAAACCAAATGCTTAATTTCACGAAACCACGTGGCGCACTCACACGATACCGCTTTTTTTTCTTTCTGTTTGTCTTAAATTTTGTCTCTGTACACACACACACACCAGTATATTTTTATTTCCTCTTTTGAATCATACTGTCCTTTATGTGAAATGCATCTTTAAAATACTTCAGTTAGTTTATTTTGAAAGTTTTCAATCTTTCCATCTTATTAAACACTTTCATCGGCTACAAACACACAACTACAAAAATTTAAAAAATTCCCATCACATAATAACATATATTGAAACAAGAAAATAGTACTGAACTGTTACGTAATATCAATCCTCTTGTATGACAGGGAATGTGAAACATTATTTTCATAGATTAAGAGGAAGCAAGAAAAAAATTGGATACACAGAAGGATACTGAGAATGGGCGGAGAATAAAAAAAATCGTTAGAAACAAAGAATACTGAATAGCTGCGTAATATCAATCCTGCTATATGGTAGTGAATGTGAGACAATCTCCTCACAGAAGAAAAGAAAACTGGAAACAACAGAAATGTAGTTCTACAGTAGGATACTGAGAATTCCATGAACGAAGTGCGTAAGCAGATAGGGACTCTTATGGAAAATGGAAACAAAAAGAACACTTATACGACACTGAAATTTCTTGGTCGCAAAATAAGGAATGGGGACTTAGAAAATTTAACTCACACATGACATGTAGTAGTACAGAGGAACAGGGGGGGAACAGAGAGTCAGCTACTTAACGAGATTGCGTGAATGAATGGCGGAATGCGAGATCGTAGAATGTCAGCCGATCGGTGATTATTCCCAGTTTATTTTCGCTTTCACCATTTTCGAGATACATTCAAGCCCTACTGTATATAATTTAAGCAAAATCGTATCACCTTGTCTCACTCCTTTTCCAATTTTGATTTTGCCTATGGCTATGCGTAGTCGAATTATTGCAGGGCTCTATTCGTATATATTTAAAATGAATTTTATTTATGAGAGCTTCCAAAAAGTTTCTCGTTTGTAAATCACAAGTTCTCAATGCTATAAAACAGAGCCGACATATACAAGAAAATAATGAAATTGATTATACTATGCGACTAACAATTACTTGGTGGAAATACTAGATATTTCCACATATTAAACATTTCCATGTAAAGCATTCTCTTATAATATATTACATAGTTTTCTTTAATATCCTACTCTCGTAATAAGTTACAGACTGCCGAGTATTCTTCGGAGTCAAAACTCTTTTCAGGGTCAAACAAACTTAAACAAAGTCGTTCTATATATATTGCTGTAGCAATCATTTATTTATTGCTTCAGAATTTATATTGTCGCGTAAACACTCTTAATCAGGGCTTACAGCTATATCACGATAAAATACCTGTTCCCGTACAATCCCCGTGTTTAAGCAACGTCGAGCCTGGGCATTACCTAGATGGGTAACCGCTTGGGAATACCAAGTGTCGTAAGCATGGATGTGCGGGTGGTGTAATGGATAATGGCTCGAAATTGTTAATCGTAGTGCCAAGTTCCAATACCCGTCGAGTTCATTATATTCCCTTGAGAAATGTATGAATCCACCTCTCCTTCCCCAAGCTATGGGTTAATTAGTAAGACTAAGTCACTAAATTATTATTAACTCAAAAAAATTCTTACAATTTAAAATTTTTTTCTGGCTTTAAATAATCTGCAAAGAGTTGATAAGCCGTAAAAAATGAATGAATCAATCAATGGATACAACCCCAAAAGCAATGTCACCAACTTGTGTTGATGGCTATTTTTTGTGTACATAATATTCTTTTTCGGATTTTCCAAATTACACACACACACACACACACACACACACACACACACACACACACACACACACACACACACACATATATATATATATATATACATATATAAAAAGTATAGGATTGATATATATGGAATAAATTTCAATAACCAACAATTGCTATTCTGAAAAGAGTGCTCAATGCATAGTAGAATATCTGAATATAATTAAAAAATGATAACATAAATATTATTTTGTTTATCCAGTGTCTTAAAATAGGATGTTGATTCAACATCATCACTTGATAAGACACTAGAGGTGTTGAAACAAATGGCTATTTTTGTAGTGATTTTATAACATATTTATGTTATCATTTTTAAATAAATAATTATATATATATATATATATATATATATATATATATACTTAAGGTGTACTATATTTCTGGGATAAAGTGCTCAATATCAGAGATATAGTGTGTGTAAGTATAAATTTGGACATTGAAGTCAACAGTTAGAGGGTTAGGATTATGGCATTTAAGTAACAGTTACGAGTGACAGAGTGCCGCAAGCATTTCCCTAAAATTTCACCGAAAGTCATAGGCATTGCTTTATATCGAAATATGCTTTTGTCGCCAACAAAATACGGAAACACTATGTCACCAATATATGATGACATGGCAGTCAATGTGTTAAAAAATAATGCACTACTTCTGTTTTATAAAATCTGTGGTATTTAGCGTATAAAATACAGATTCAGTTATTAAAACAATTATATAATAAATCATAAGCGGTTATGGATTTTGTCAATGAGTTAATTATTTTCCTAATCTTTGAAGCGATGTCAGCAATTTTCTTGTACACCTAATATTCTCTTTCGCATTTTACAAATATAATATATGTTATTGTCTAACAATTAGATGCTTGGTTGGTTGATTTTCTTAAGCGGCATATCAACCTCTACGTGTTATTAATGCCGAAATTTAAAAAATTTTCAACACAATCTTTCAACAATAATTTCTTTCCTTGAGGTATGTTTTCTTTTATACAGAATATATATATATATATATATATATATATATATATATATATATATATATATATTTTGAGCAACATCTAGCCGACACACTGGGGTTAAAATAGGAAACTAAATCCATTACATTCACTTACGTGCTAATACCCTTGAGAAAGTTATTAATCCTCTTATTCTCTTATTCTCTCTCCAGCCATGGGTAAATACCAGGACAGACTGGGTTTTATAGCCTTGGATGGCAACTGGTCTAGGAGAAGGACTGTGAATTCAAAACCTGCGTAGGGTCGTTTGTGGACCTTGTGGCACGTAGTGTACCAGGTCTCTGTAATCGGCCCTTCAAAAACTGTGGTTGGTTCTGCACGAAACCTTCACCACTATAATCAAATCATACGTGCTAATGTCTGGTGGTCGGTACCTAGGTACTGAGATGCTGACCCTCATACGCCGAGTACGATTGGAGGGTCCACTATATATATATATATATATATATATATAGCATTCAAATAAAAGTTAAGAGTAGCAGAGTGTCGTATGCGCTTTCCTAAAATTTCACGGGAGGAAGCCATAGACATTGAAATATGCATAGAATGTCTCCAATATTTGGTGATATAAAGTTCACCTAGATAGGAAGACACGGCGTAAACTGAAATACCACGTCGCCAATATATGGTGACATGGTAGTCAACATGTTAACGAATCCTCTAGGTCTTAATCGGATCTTATGAACTGGCGCTACACAATTGCAAACAAAAAAAAATTATCAAACAACAACGAACAAAAAAAAAAGGGGACTTGAAGACTTCCAACAGCAGCAAAAACAAAAATGGATAGCACATGGAACTAGAAAGGAAAGTAATTCTGTAATCTTTATGTACTGTGTCCGTTCATGTCTCTTCAAAATTACCCTATCCTTTGTAGCTCTTAATAAATTTTGTCTTTTTTTTTTAATTTCTCTTAAACTCTATCCCCCAGTCCATTTACTTAAACCCACCAAATATATTGTGTACTGTTTTCCTCTGTCCCTCTTGAACAATAACATTGGCCAACAGTTTATTCTTTGTCTGAAGATATTGTTCTTAGAGAAACACTTTGTAAATTTCAACCGACAATAACGTTAACTGTCCTGCCATTGATATACCGAATTTCTCCCGTGTGGAAACGTTTATTCCCGCCATTAGCATTTCGGCTTTTTAAAGTCCATTTACACTGTTTTTACTTAAAAAAAAAAAAAGAAAGAAAATCTATTCGGTTTGTATCCAGTATGACGTGATGCTCTTAGGGAAGACATGAATGCCTTCTTCTATTACCTCTGGGATTACTCCCTGCTGCTGGTAACTAAATACAGCTTAGAGCGTTTTACTTGGAGAGTAACCGCATATCCCCGAGAAATGCCAAACATTTTACCCGGATAATCTATAGGTCGGGGTATAAGTTGATTTTTATTTTTATTTTCAAATGTCGATTTTTCAACGATCTCCATACTAAAGAATAATATTTCACTAGTTCGGCACCCCGTTGCAGAAAGATGATCATATTTCATCTATAAACTGTAGGAATTTAAATGGACCAACATTTATAAGAAAATATATACTGTTTAAATGCACAAGTAGTCATAAAAATGACTTCAAAGCGCTTCACGTTTCAGCTTACACTCTTTTTCTTGAACCGACACGACACAGATGTCAATTTTAATTTCATTCAAATTGCGTGTGTAGGTACGTTTGCATGGATGTATGCATATATTAATTCAATGCGTTCAATATTGATGCCATATCTGGTCTAGTATCTCCTATATATCTGGGGATCATTGACAAAATCTAAAGAAGGATCTGCAATGTAAGCTAAACTGATCTGACATCTCGACTTCAGTCACTTTCGCATGGACATGACGTGGCTTTTTTGACTTTTCTATAAATATTTCCACGACAATTGTTCTGATGAACTTAACTTCTTGACGCTACGACCGCATTTAAACGTGTTGCTAGGTGTCATGATTTTATTGTTGAGGTAGCTAAACGCAACTGTAAGATCTATTCTAATAGTTTCTTTTCTCGCACATGCCACCTGTGGAATTCTTCCGATTTCTCGCTTCCTTGTCACTAATAATCTTCAAAAATTTCAATGCAACGTCAATCGCAATCCTCTATCTTCTTTGATGCATGTTCTTTTATTGTCCTTTCTCCTCACTAAAGTCTTCTCATTCTCTTTCACTCCCAGTAACCCCTTGTGTCTTAGTGACATTATCGCCATTTTCTGTCTTCCTGAAACCTGTTCTTTTATTGTCCTTTCTCCTCACTAAATTCTTCTCATTCTCTTTCACTCCCAGTAACCCCTTGCGTCTTAGTGGCATCATCACCATCTTCTGTCTTTCTGAAACCTGTTCTTTTATTGTCCTTTCTTCTGACTAAAGTCTTCTCATTCACTTTCACTCCCAGGAACCGCTTGAGTCCTAGTGGCATTATCGATTTGAAATGATTTTTTTTTTGTAAATGACAGTCCCAAAAATATTTCTATAAAACGTAAAAAATACTTTTATAATAATTTTATTTATTACAGTTTAAAAATTAACGGTTTTTTTCAGCGAAAAAATTATCGCATCATTTATATTTATTTCATTCAACTGGTGTGTATGTGCGTGTACGTGTTCGTGTACTTGTGTACACATTAAATGTTACAATCAAATGTAACACAACAATATGTGACCGAGTGTAGTGAACGTTCCCTTTTGATTAGAGTCAGGTTCGAATTGCACTAAGGTCGATTTTTCAGGAAGGTGAATTCTTGATGTTATCAACATGAGATACCTTTGAAAAGTTTATGAAAAACCATACGACAGATTGACCCAAGCCTTGTGAATTAAATATGGTAGATAGAACGAATTTGAGATTCGGTCGCAAGTCATTATGGCCGAACCTCTTTGAGCTTACTGGACTCGTTTAAACTGTTCATCCCGACAAATAATGCGCTCTCAGCCGGATACTGTAACTAAAATCCACTCAGAATAGTTACATTATAAACCACAGTTGAACAATGTGTGTGTTGAACAATGTGTGTGTTGAACAATGTGAGTGTTGAACAATCACAAATGTTCCAGAGCAGGCATCTGCAACAGGGATTGGTTGACCACCCTGGCAGACAGTCATACTCAGATACGAACGGCCAGCCATTACCATTACATACACGTACGCAAAATCACATGAAGAAAATTATGGCGGACAAAAAATCAGATATATAACACAGATTAGCAAAATTTATATATAGAAATTGGTAAAAATGAGTCAGTGCAAGACATAAAAACAACAAAATGATTATTTATTATCCAGTTTTTTATGAGGTGTTGGAAAAACGAGAAAAAGTAATATTGAATAAAATTGCGAGGTTAAAGTCAAATAGAGTCAAATATGGCAATGCTGCTGTACGCTTCGCTGAATGCCACTCTTACCCTGGTCTGTGGTCTCTCCTCAGTGAGCCCACTCTGCACCACTCCTGTATTCCCAGGTGTTTCATTATCCGCAGGAATATCAGTGAAGAACTGCAGAAGATCAGGCTTGACTTCAGTCTGTCCTGGCTATGCTTGTGAAAGATCAAACTCACTGCTGTCGCCAGTAAACTTTATGAACTTCAACATAACGCATTAACAAGTGTAAAATAACAAGTTTTA